TAGCAAATAAATGGGTACTAAAACCTAATAAATCAGCCTAAATCCTCACAAATGCATGTAAAATATTAAAAATAATTTATAATTTTAACAAATTTAGAAGTACTAAACTCTAATATGTGCGCCTAAACCCTCACAAATGCAAGTGAAATATTTTTTCAAAACCCCCTTCCGCAATAAAAGGTTTTAACTATTTTTTTTTTCAAAATTGTTGGTCATTAAGTACAATATATGTAACTTATGTTTACTTTAGTACAACATAAGAGTTGATTTTCTTAATTTGTCACATAAATCACTCGAAATATTAACAAACAAATTTTGCAAAAGACCTAGAAACCAAACATATGCTAGCAAAAATAAATGCAGTGAGCTCATTATTTTTATTTCATTTATGTGATTCAGTAATTTTGTTTGTTAACCCAAACAATATACAAAGGACGATCAAGCTCTTTAATCAATNTAACATGAAGCACGTTACATTAGAAATTTATAAATTGTTGAAGCATGGAGTTTCAAACCCTTTGATCACATCATAACTCTTTTCAACTCAAGTTTATGCATCTCAACAACTGCGTAAGACTTTCGTTCATGTGAAAAATTATGTCATCAAACTAAACCCGGAAAGTCTGAGCAATAAAAATTCTTTTTACCCTCTCTCATCNCCTCTGCAAGTTTTTCTAATTGCTTCNTTTTCTAGTTTAATCTTTGATCTTATCCAACTTCCTGTTACTTGTTGAATTTCTTGTTGAAGCTCTTGTTAGAAGATAGGCATTAAAAGGTGTGTGTCTAGCAACCATTTAAAAACTTATTGCAAATTGTATAGCAATGGAAGCTCTTTGATCTACACACGTCCAAAATCCATTGAGTAGCTCAAATTGTTTTTCTTCTAAAAAAATATGTAACCCTAATAAAAAGAATCACAAAATATATATGGAAGCAATACAAAACATTAGGACAAAAGTTACGCTAAAAAGTAAAAAAAAAAATCTGTAGCAATGATTACTTATATTATATTAGAATACATTATGATACATATACAAAAAACTTATCAAAAGAGTAAAAAGATAGAAACAATTAAAATATGTAAATAAAAATAAGAAAACTAACATAAATCGTAAACTTTACTACGATATATCTGTAAAAATAAGAATTCGACCTCGATAAGATGATTATACGTTTGCCACATAAGAAAAATATAATGTTTCACATACATAAACTATAAAATAATTAGAGTAAAATAACCTCCAAGAGCTCATCTCCAAATCCCAAACAAAACGTGAAGAATAGCCCATTTGAATAACAAATCATCTATCGTTCGATCCTTGACAATTGATGTTAANAACTATATCGATTTATTATCTAAAACATATAATAAAATATAAACATATAATAAAATAGAGATAAGTCACACTTACGCATCTAGCAAGATATAACACAGGACTAATCAATTTGTCCATTGATTAATAAATCATAGATCGCTCGATTAATAACCATTGACGTAAAGAGAGCCTTGTTGATTTATTATCTTAAACGATTTTAAAATTGTTTAACAACAAAACAAAGAGACAACTATATAATTTTGAGTCTTCGGGTTTTAAGTAAGTGCAGCATCTAGGGTTTTCTTTGCTAACAAATATTTATGGGCCACGTTTTTAGCATATTGGCTCAGTTTCAATATTTGGTGGACATATAAAAAATATTTTAATTAAAAAAATATTAGATGGCATGGATATGTAATTTCGAGATTCACTAAGGATATTTTTGAGAGGGCACGTCTTAAACTCACCGTAGAGCCGTCACGTAGGATTTTCGACTTCTCAGATGTAAGTATAGATTAGATTAAAAATAAAGCAGAAAATATAATTGAATAATAAAATGAAAAATACATGCTGACGTGTTTCAGCCAAAAAGAAAGGAAGGAACATTTGTGGCTTTTCCTTTTCCAAAAAGAAGACCTTCAAAATTAAACCCTCAGTGAGACCGGAGAAGACGAAGCCGAATCACACACACAGAGATTCTCCGGCCGTAACATTGAATCTGGGTCGCAATGTTTCCGAATGGTCAACAGGTTAGTTTAAGAAATTCTCAGTTTTGGTTTCCCATAAAACTGAAATCGAAATCAGATTTGTCTGAG